ATGACTTACTGGTTAGTAGCTGCATTGCAATCCCAAAGGCCTGCAGTTTGAATCCACGAGCTGCTCCTCAGGAGAAAGATGGACCATCTCCTCCCATGTGTTTCACTACTTCCAAAAACCTACTGAAGAAGCAGCTCTGGGCTGGTTCTGACTTGACTACACATAACAATAACAACAATAACAGTTTAGAAGGCTAGAAAGCCAAATTCAGGGTGCCAGACATAGTAGAAAGGGCCTTTCTCTATTGGTTCTAAAGAAGGGTCCTTCCTCATTTCCTTCAGCATATATAGGCCTCTTGTTCTTCAGAGGCATCCACATGTCTTGGCCTTCCCTGGGGTCAAGGAGATTCCTCAGGCAGAGACCTGAGTCCCAAAGGACTCAATTCCACTCTTGGGAACTCTGTCTTGGTGGTATTGAGGGCCCCCATCTAGCTAGATTTCCTCCTCCTTTGTTTCTAGTGAGATAAAAGGTTACAGGCCACATCCTAGAACAATATTCCTTGCCTCTATCAGGGCTATGATGAAATTTAAGGGTTGTATCCCACTTTTAATCCTTTTTACAACTGTTTGGTTATTCTAGGAATGATTATATGTGCCTTTTTTTTTTAATAAGCAAGCATCTATTTTGGGAGGACACAATTCAATCCATGATACCGATGAGGGCAGACAGCTGAAGCTAAAGGCAGTTCAGTGGTAGACCTTTTCACCATTCATAATGCAGATCTAGCTTGTTTCCTGGCCATTATACCTCATGCAGAGTCACCACCTGTGTTGACAGTGGGGGCTTCCATGTTGCTTTGATGCTGAACAGATTTCGGTGCTGTTTCCAGATCATGATGGTCTATAGAGAAAAGCTGCAACTCGTGAAAACCCTATAGGTAACTGCATGACAGCTTATGGGAATATTAAAGTGCTTTGCTTTGTTCAGTTAGGGGCCAACTTGATGGCAGCTAACAACAGTAGCAGCAACAGGAACCAGTCTAGATAATGAGGTAAGGAGTATTGAGGGCTGAGGCAACAGTCCATATGAAGTACTGGTATAGGTAGGTAGAAGACTGAGTGAAAGAACTGAATGAAACTTAGAACTGAATGAAACATGGTATCTAGAATTTGGGGTACAGTGTCACAATATAGCATACATGCTTCATGATGATTCTTTGTGTTGACTACCTATCCTCTAGACTCTAAACAGCTTGATGATCAAAGCTATGTTTTGTTTACATTTGTAGCTGTATCTATCCTGTAGCATATAATAGGAATTCAGTGAGTATTTGATGAACAATGAACAGTTTTTTGCCTAAAAGGGGCTTACTTACAGTTAACATATGAAATAGGATAGCAACTTAAGAACTTTCTTCTTTTCTAAAAACCTAGGAACCCCTGAATAAAGTAAAATTTTATGTAAAAGCGCTGATAAAAACAGAACCCTTTTGGTTGTGTATGTGTGGGAGGTACTGTTCTCCAAGTAACATTTCAACCTGTGCCCCCACACATTTTACTTTTCTTGTTCCCTCGGCTTTATTCAAATAACAACCTAGGCATTTCTTTTTTGTCTCTCAAATGTCATAACATGATTCCTTTCTTTTTCTGTCTGCTCCCAAGTTCAGTGTCTATAGTGACTTCCCAGCATCCAGTGCATACCTTTCTTAGGGCACTTTTCAAACTATATCAGTAGTGTTTAAGCAGAGCCTCAAACACTACTGGGTTGCCTGGATTTTCCTTGGTTTGATTTCCGACACCAGGATCCTGACGCTATTCTAGATTCCCTAATGCTTGAGGAGAGGATCTGGGATCCAGGGCACTAATTGAAGGGCCCTTAAGAGCCAGCAGTGAAGGAAAGTGGGTGCAAATGCAGATGAGCTTGTAGATTATAATAGGGCCACAAATATACTCTAGTTAACAGTGATAAATTGTGGAAATAAAATGTGTGTGTCATTACAATAAGAGGGAAGACAGGAGAGATGAAGCATGTATAAGTAGATTGGAGAAGCTCTGTGGTGGTAGATGGCATGAGTGGGCTGGTGGGGTTACTAGAGAAAGTAGAAATACTGGGTGACATCATGTCCCAGTACAGTTGATAATTGGCATTAATATGCCAACTTCTGTGATTCCCATCCTCTCCCTTTCAGTAATACTCAATTGGGTGGGCACTGAGTTAGAAGGTTACATTGGGTCCTTAGTTGTTCAATTTTATGGGAAATGGTTAGAACTCAGCCCTGTCATTTATTAGCTGTGTGACTTTGGATATGTTGCAAAAACCACTCCATGTCTCAGTTTCCTCATATGGAAAGTGAGAATACAAGTATGTATCTCATAGGATTGTTTTGAGGATTAAATAAATTAATGTTTATAAAACATTTTATAAAAGTCCTACCACATGGTTTAAGATCAGGAAGAGTATGTGTCAGGGTTGTATCCTTTCTCCATACCTATTCAAGCCTTATGCTGAGCAAATCATTCATGAAGCCCGACTCTATGAAGAGGAATGTGGCATTAGGATTGGAGGAAGACTCATCAACAGCCTGTGTTATGCTGATGACACAACTTGGCTTGCTAAAATTGAGGAGGATGTGAAACTCCTGCTGCAGAAGATCAAGGACTGCAGCTTTCAGTATGGATTACATCTCAACATCAAGAAGACAAAGATCCTCACCACAGGCCCAGCAGTTAACATTATGATAGATGAAGAAAAGATTGAAGCTGCCAGTGATTTAACCTTGCTTGGATCTACAATCAACACCCTTAGTACCAGCAGTCAGGAAATCAAGAGACATATTGCATTGGGCAAGGCTGCAGTCAGGGACCTCTCCAAAATACTGAAGAGCAAGGAAAGAACTGTTGAAAAGGAATATATGATTAGGCAGTATTTGTATGACAGCTGCCCAGAATAAGAAGTGTATAGCAAAGTGAACTGGGGTGGGGGGGGGGGGGGGGGGGGGGGAGAAATTGTACAACAATGAATGAATTTTTTTTTAAAGTGAACTGGGGAAACAGGTAGGGAGGAAAATGTGCAACCATGAATGAATGAAAATCCAACTTCTCTGTAAACTTTCATAGCAATCACATTTTAAAAAATGAAAACAAAAAAACCCAACCAACCAACCAACCAACCAAACAAAAAAAGACCAAGGTGCACCTGATTCAGGCCATGGTCTTCTCAATCACCTGAAAAATAAGGATAACAGAAGAAGAATTGATGCCTTTTGTGCTGGAGAAGAGTACTGAATATCCCATAGATTTCCAAGAAGACAAAACAGATATGCCTTGGAGGGGTGTGGCCAGAATGTTCTTTGAAGGCAAGGTCCACCAAGCTTTGTCTTTCATATATGTAGCTAGGTGAGGCTGTTCTTGGAAAGGGACATCATGCTTACAAAGATGGAAGGTCAGCAAAGGAGAGGAAGACTCTTAAAGAGATGAATTGACACTGACTTCTGCAGTGGACCCTAGTGTCTCTGAGATGATGAGGATGGCACAGGTTAGGGCAGGGTTCACAATGGCTGTTTGTAGGGTTGCTATGAGTCATATTTGACTTAACAACCACCACCACCACAGAGGAAGTGTGTATACAGTAAAACCTGTGAAAGCCAGAACTTTTGTAAATGGAAACCTGTCAGAGAAGGGAAATGTAACTGTCTTTCACTAACAAATAGTTAAAGAAAAGTAGTTATTGTTCCTTGTCAAAGGCAGAAAACTTGCAAGACCCAGGAAAACAAGACCGTCATGATCTAGCTCTCACAAGTTTTCACGATATTCAACACTTTAAAAAAATGTCATTCTGCATAATTAGTAAAACATGTATGGGGACCCAAGGAGGCATGGGGTGGGAGCAGTGAGGTGAGGATGGATAGGGGCGAAACTACAGGCTTGTACACTCTGGCGGGTGGAGGGAGGTAGTGAAGGAAATGGGAAGGATCCAGCGGGGACCTGAAAAGACAGGGTAATGATGGGCATGCCCAATGATGATTATAAAACATAATGCATGAGAATGATTGTATGAAACACAGTGTGAATGAAGAGTAGTGTGACACAATGTATACGACCTTTGTAAGCAAACCAGTATATCTGTTTCTATATATGGGCTCGCTTCGGCAGCACATACACTAAAAATTGGAACGATACCGAGAAGATTAGTATGGCACAAGGATGACACTCAAATTCACAAAGTGTTACATGTTGTTATTATATTTTGGAGGAACATTCATCTAAGTAGTACAGCACTCTTCTGTCAGTATACTGTACTGAGGTTACCTGGGGTTGTGTCAAATGCCGTAATGGTTACCCGTGGTAGACAGTGTTTGGTGGAGCTCCCAGTTTAAGATAGATTTGGAAACCACATGCCTCTGGAAACTCTATGAACATTGAGAAACGATAATAGTTATAGAAAGGCTTCAGGCCTCTTGTTCATAGGATCACTATGAGTTGTGCTCAACTCAGCAACAATCAACAACAGCAGCATATCTCATATATCGATATCATTCTTCTGATGAATTGTGATTGTCTCCTTAAACTAAAACCCATTTTGGTTCTGAATCATAGAAGTCCTCCATAGTTGCTTTTAGGCTGTCAAGTCTTTATGGGAGAGCACTGCCCATCTTTCTCCTAGTGTAGCTGGTGGTTTTGGACCTTTACATTGTTGTTGTTAAGTGCCATCGAGTAGGCGACTCATAGTGACCCTATGAACAAAAGACCTGAACACTTAACTTTAATCCTTTCTCCAGGTTCATAGGGTTTTCGGAGGCAAGCTATTTCGGAAATGGATGCCACTCCTGCTCCCAAGCTTGTTTTAATTGGGGAGCTCCACTGAACAACAGCAGCCTGATAATGTAATGCACAAGGGCACCTTACTACTTCCTTTACTGTTATAATGAAACTGTTAGTTGAACTAGTCCTCCATACTTACTTTCTTCTGTTAAAGTAGAAATTTTCATAGACTTGTGAATTTGTGCTAATCACTTGGAAAAGTATGTTTTAAATCCTTCCCTCCTATGAATTTTATTTTAGCTGTTAAACGTTTAATGAAAGAAGCAGCAGAATTGAAAGATCCAACAGATCACTACCACGCACAACCTTTAGAGGTTAGTTTCTTTCTCTATAGTCTTCTATGTATTTTAACTTGAATATGACAAATTCTTTAAATGGCTTTTTTATTGATTTGAGTTATTGTTGACATATCTGATGTGACTTATTGGTGTATTTTATGATTTATAGAGAGCTCTGGTGGCCCAAGGGGGTAGAGTTGTGCTGCCAGCTGAAGGGCAGGTGGTTCGAATTTACCAGTGACTTCATAAGAAAAAGATAGGCAGTCTCCTCCGGTGCTATTTATAGCCTCTGAAAACTTCCTGGAGGTTAAGACACAATGAGTTGTTTGTTTTTGCTAATCTTTATAGTTCATTATCCTTTCTAGTAAATGGAATTGCTTTAGTCTTTATACAATGGTGCTAAATTTGCCTTTGGATCTTGAATATGAGGCTTGGCAAATAGAAAAAAGGCCTCAGACTCTTATGTTTGGAAAGTTCAACCTTTAAGGGGAACTTTACACCCTGCCTTGGGGTTTTTACATAAACACCTTCACCCCTTTTGTCTTCTCATTTGTAAATAAGAGTATTTAAATCTGCTCAGTGTAGCTTTCATGGTAATAGAATGAAATATAATGCAGTATGTGTAGAAATACTTGATAACTATAAGATGATTCTTGTTGTTGCTGTGTACCATGAGTCAGAACCGATCCATAGCTGACCCTTCAGCAGGTTTTCAGAGGCAGTAAATCACATAGAGATTTACTTGGAGCAGTAGTAGATTCCAACCATTTAAGTGTGTATTGGCAGCTCAGTTCCTTACCACTAAGTCAGCAGAGCTCCCTAAAATGATTATAGTAGCATATATATTAGCATTACTATTTGTAAATGAGTTCCATTTTTAAATTACTGTTTATATATAAATCAAGTGATTTGTTAAAGTATTCCAAAGTATGAAGATAATTTTTCTGTAATATAATCCTCATTAATTGGCATTCTCCTAAGGATTAATGTCCAGGTTAATTGAATCTACTATCTTATTTATGAATATTTAACAGGACTTAGAAGTTTTAAATGTATTTTTTTTTAAAAATTAGCTCTTCCAGGACATTAAAACTAGAGTAAGTATCTAACTTTTAATCTTGAAACGGATTTTGTGCGTTAGACTAGTATTAGTATTTTAGCATCAGTATATTATTGTTGGAATAGTATAAAAATGTAATATTTCTGGCCTAGTAATATTTCTGCTACTTGCATTAGTACAAGTGATCCAAGCATTAACGTGCATGAATCCTAACGGTTATTGTTTTTATTTAGGATAACCTTTTTGAATGGCACTTCACTGTTAGAGGGCCTCCAGATTCTGATTTTGATGGTGGTGTTTATCATGGACGAATAGTACTACCACCAGAGTATCCTATGAAACCACCAAGCATTATTTTACTAACGGTAAGAATTGTTGGGTTTTTGGAATGCTTGTGGTGTAGCCCATCGTGGTGACTGTGATGTATGAGCATATTCCTTTTCATTACAAAAAAAAAGAGCAGTATTATAATTTTGCTGTTGAAGTCCAGGCTTGCAACACTCGCTCCCCCATAAAAGAATTCCTAGGAAACCGATGTATCTGAGAGGTTCTGAAATGCCTGAGAAATAGTAGTGATAATGCACACATTCATGTCATACTGTGGTGTAAGAATGAAATGAATTAAAGTATCAAAGTGCTTGACACAATGTCTGGCATATGATTAGTACAAAATAAAAGTTAGCTATTGTCAGAGCCTTGGTAGTACAAGGGTTAAGCACTTCACTGCCAATTGAAAGGTTGTTGTATACCATGGAGTCAGAACCCACCCATAGCTGACTGCCCCATGGATTTTCAGAGGCAGTAAATTGCACAGGAGGAGATTACCCATCCTTCTCCTGTGGAGCAACTGTTGAATTCAAGCCACATGTCTTTGCGATTGTAGTGCAGTTGAATATTGACTTTAGAACCTGAATCCTGAGCATTGCTTTTTCTGAAACATCACAGGCAGGTTATATAGTGTTTCTGAAATTTGATCTTAATTTTCTCATCTACCACAAACGAATGGATTGAGAAATTATGGTACATTCACACAATGAAATACTATGCAGCACGCAGGAGCAATAACTTGGTGAATTATTACCTAACTTGGGAGGGACTGGAGAGCATTATGTTTAGTGAACTAACTCAGTCCCACAAGGATAAATATTGGATGTGGATGTGCAGGGGGAAGAGGGGATTAGTCATTGGGTTGTACAATTTGATGGGTGGGGGTTGGTGAGGAAAATTGAAAGAATGTTCAAAATTGTATTTGTATTTTGTAAACAAATAGTAGGGGGAATAAAGAGATGATAAATACAATCACACTATGAAGTTTCTGTTTAACAAATACTTGGTAATTTTGAGAATCATTAATGCCAGCAGTAGGCTACAGCAAAGAACTGGAAACAACTTACTCTGTCTTTTGGTTGTTAGATCATGAGGAGAGGGGCTAGCATGAGATGACCTTAGCTAGAAAGTTGGGGGCAACAGCTCTTTACCAAATACAGAAATATTTTAAGCTCTAGTGGCCAAGTGGCAAGAAGTTCCACTATAATCCCATGGACACATGGTTCAAGGCCACTACCTTCTCTGGAAGAGAAGAATGGGTAATTTCCTCCTGGGAAATTAACTACCTCTAAAAACCCACCAGAGGGTTAGCTATGGGTTGGTTCTGACTTTACGATACACAACAACCAACAGTATGGTTAAAACTCATACTTAAAACAGAATGGTTTAAAGTCAGTCCTGCCCACTTGATTTTCAATATTGTACTCTTTCTGATTCCCTTCTCTCTTTATTTAATTTTTGTTTTCTGCTTTTTTTTTGGTATACAGTTTTGAATTTTTTAAATGTAAGGTTTGTGTTTTGTTTTTTATTGAAAGTTTACACTCATTCATTCATGCACACTTCCCCCTCCCTCTCACTTCCCTGTTCCCTTTGTAATTCTTGTCCTGTTCCAAACACATAATTGCCATACACATAATTTCTAATTGTTATTCCTTTTAGATTGCCCGTCCTTTCACTCATTCCAGTGCAGTGTTCATTATCCATTCTTTTCTCACTCTTTCCCCCACCACTATCTCCATCCTGTTATTACAGTAGTGGACTTATACAGTATTTGTCACTTTGTGACTGTGATAGTTCACTCAATATATTATTTTCCAGCATGTTTAACTCAGCATAATATCTTCTGCAGAAAAATGAACCAAGATCCACTCCTCACACTGGAAACAAAAACCAACTCAAGGTGAATCAGGGATCGAGGAGTAAACGCCAAAACCATAAAGTTCATCAAACAAAAATAGGAACAAACTTAGAAGCCTTATATATGGCATGAATAGACTTCCAAGCATATCTAAAAACTTACAACCAGGAGAGGATAAAATAGATGACTGGAACCTTCTAAAAACCAAATCCTTTTGTGCATCAAGAAACTTCTCCAACTGAGTAAAAAGGAAGCCCACTTCCTTTTGAGGAGGAGAGGGGCTGATAGTGATGAACTTGGCTAGAAAGTTGGGGGGGAGCAGCTATTTACCAAGTACAGAAATATTTTACGCTCTGGTGGCCTAGTTACCAAGTACAGAAATATTTTACGCTCTGGTGGCCTAGTGACAAGAAGCTGCAAGTTGATACTTTAGTAGTCGTGTCTTATTTCCATAAACTTACTTAAGTGAATCACTTCTGTGAAGATAGGTACTAGATCTCCACCTGCCTGCTGATCATCATTTTATCAAGTCAGATTCATGTTCAGAATGGAAATCATGATCAGACTGGGAAAAAATATTTAGCAAGGACATTTCTGATAAGGGACTCATGACTAAGATTTATGGAGTAGCACATCAGCAAGAAAAAGACAAGTTACAGAATGGGCAGAAGACATGAACAGAAGCTTCACCAGAGAAGGTTAGATGGCCAGCAAATACATAAAAAGTGTTCAGAATCAGTAGCTAATTGTTGTTGTTAGCTGCCATTGAGTCGAGTACAACTCATAGAGACCCTATGAACAAAAGATCTGAACCCTATTCTATCCTGTGCCATCTTCACACTTCTTACACAAAAGAGCTCATTGCAGCAGTCACCGTGTCAGTCCATCTGGTTGAAGGTCTTCCTCTCCTTTGCTGACCTTCCACCCTTCCCAGCATCCTGTCTTTCTTCAAGGAATAGCCCCTCCTTGCAACACGCTCAAAGTTTGTAAGGCAAAGCCTCATCATTCTGGAGCTAATAGCAACCATGAGTTATCATCTTACCCTAGCAACAACAGTAGAGTTCAACAAAACAGTAAACAACAAATCTGGTGAAGATGTGAAGAGATCAGAACTCTCATACACTACTGGTGGAAATATAAAATGGTACAAACAATATGGAGGGCAGTGCGGTGCTTCCTCAAAAAACTGGAAATAGAAATATTGTTTGACCCAGCTATCCCATCACTAGGAATAAACCCCAAATAAGTTAGAGCTGTGTCCCAAACAGATATATGCACACCCATGTTTATTGCAGCTCTAATCACAATAGCAAAGATGTGAAAACAGCTCAAGTGCCCATCAACAGCAGAATGGCTAGAGAGATTGTTACTTGTCACACAGTGGAATACTATACAATTTAAAAAAATACTCTTCTTTTGAAGAGTATTCTCCAGTCTTTAATCAACCAATATTTGCTAATATTGCAATATTTAGACATACTATGTACTAATCGTGCTAATGCAAAACCTATACTTGGACCAAGAGGCAGTCGTCAGAACAGAGCAGAGCAACACCGCATGGTTCAAAATGGAGAAGGGTGTATGCCAGGGATGTGTCCGATCTCCATACCTTTTCAACTTATATGCAGAGCAGATTATCCGAGAGGCTGGGCTCTATGAGGAGAAG